ACGTAATGCGTTCTTTGCAAGATATGTGATTTGCAGACTTGGCAGGTATGCAGGAATTTTCGAGATCTCGTGAACTTTCTAGAAACTTTCCGTTTGCTTAAATAGAAGCGTGTTTAAGTTCAGTTCCCACATCGACGCTGAAGTAATTATTAGTGAAGTTCGCGCTCTACATGTTATAAATTGTGCTCGTGTTCACATGGTATCAACCGTTTTACAAAAGGGAATCACTTCGCCTCAAGAGCCATAAAATAGAAAATTCAAATGTCCCCTCAACTCTTCAATCCTGCTACATCCTCAATTTTTCAATTTTCTACATTGTCTCAGTGCTGAGATCCTAAACCTTCCGACAGACAGACGGATTTTCATACAAAATACGCAAAAATTGTTTATCTTATCCCTTTAATAAATGCTTACCAGTTTCACCCGCAAGCACCACGAAACAGTTCTGATTGATCTGCTCCATAATTTCCTGTTCCTCTGCGAGTATAGGCAGTTTCAGTCTTGCATTTTGTATAACCGCCAACGATTGACCGGCACGAATGCTGCCGGCTTACGTTCCACCACCTTAGCTTCTTTAAGCGGCACCTCTTCTGAACCATTAAAGGTGCCTTACCTGCCTGATCTTCGATCGGAGCATTTGTACCGTTCACGACCTCTGCCTCAAGCAGTACTTCATCTACTTTCACTTTTTTCAAGGACTCGTCGCTACTCTCAGAATCCGAGCCCGAGGATTCGAACCCGATGGCATTGGGATCGTCCCTCTGTGCCTCTCGAGCGAGAAATATACGTTTACGTTTTGATCCGGCGATACTGTTAATCTTAAAGGGCCGCTCGTCACCGTCCGATTTCGCCCTCTCTTTCTAGCGCATTTTCCAACGAAGTTGGGTGCGCTGTTGCAGCCACTTTCTCTGTCAGTCCGGTCTGTCCGAGGCCTTAACTACTCCTACAGTTTTCAAGATATTTAGTTCGTTCTTTTTGCATTCGGTAGCGTATAGCCCTACCACCAGAGCCAAGGAAAATCTTCACAATTAAACTGCGCATGCGCAGAGCGCGCAATGTCAACTTCCTTATTTATTAATATATTTTGTTGAAACTTTAACCACAGATACTTCTGGTGAAGGCAAATATATCGCAACCCAACGAGCTGCCCGCGCGACGACTTACGCCTGTCTTCCTCTTCTTCTTCTCGACGACTTTCTCGAGCCGTTTTCGTTGCTTCTTGCTGAGAATTCTCGTCACCTTCTACTATTGTCGTTATCTTCGTTTTGCACTTCTTCGATGGTAAAACCAAATCGAGATGTATCTGGAATTGGGTGGTAAATTTGTTATTAAAAGGATTTAACAATAATTGACGATGAAAACGCGTTGGACGACGCAAATGACTTGCTTTTTAATTTTCTAATCGACGTCCAAACAACCATTGAAGAAGTAACTGTGGACATCAACGAACTTTGATTGATTGTTGCGTTGTAGATTCTACCGAGTAACGATCCTCATGGTCAGCCCACTTTCAACACAATCGACTACATTAATAGCTTATTTCCGACAGAGCAGTCACTCTCAAATATTGAAGAAACTGTCAGTCGAATGGAGGAGAAGATTCAGGCGATCGACGACGAAATGAGCACAGTCGTTCGAGGGCAGCCAGGACGGCCGACAGGCTCTCGACGAGGCGCAGCGGGTTATCAGTGAGCTATTCGTGCAAATCAAGGACATAAAGGGACGAGCGGAGAAGTCTGAGGAGATGGTACGAGAAATCACGCACGATATCAAACAGCTCGATTGTGCGAAACGAAATTTAACTTTGGCGATTACCACACTGAACCACCTTCATATACTGGCGGGGGGAGTGGATACGCTTAAATCGCTTACAGAAAAACGACAGTACGGCGAAATAGCGCTACCTCTACAAGCAATAAGCGAAGTGATGACCCACTTCGAAAACTACACGGACATTCCGCAAATCAAGAGTCTAAGTGACCAGGTCAAGTCGATCCACCAAGATTTGGCGCAGCAGATCACTCGCGATTTCAAGGAGGCGTTCTCCGGTGCGAACGCGAAAAGTTTCATACACAATAAGCAGCTGGCGTCCGCTTGTCTTGTGGTCTCGGCGCTCGAGCCGAAAGTGAAACCCGACCTGCTCAAGTGGTTCATCAATCTTCAATTGCAGGAGTACATGCATCTCCTTAACGAAACTGAGGACACCGCGTGGCTCGACAAGATCGACAAGCGGTACGCGTGGCTCAAACGGCATCTGATCGAGTTCGAGGATCGGCTCGGCGGCATGTTCCCGCGACGCGCGAGGAGCTGCCTAAAATCATGACGAAGCGGAAAAGTCGGCGAACTTCGAGACGCTGCCCGCGCGACGCTTTACCAGCGTGACGATATCTGAGAGTGGAGACGCAGGGAACAAGGAGTGCGCAAGAGGCGTGCCATGTAAGGATGTTATTTTGAGCGCTTCTTTTGAGACAAGGCCCAGCTCAATCGAGCGGATTCACTGCAACTCATTTAAATAATGGCGGTTACTTATGCTTATCCAAATAGTCGGAATGAAATCTCCAAATTCGGCAGTCCAGCAATGCCCTTGTGAGGTCGAGTGGCGCAAAACAAAAAATTAGGTCATTGCCCTTGGATTACCTCCAGAATGTAATTAGACACTACGCCCTTCGACATTGAAAATATAACCTGACACCACAGAAATGGGTTCATTGTTCTTGAATAACCGAGAAAATGGAATTGGACACTACATAACAATGACGTCATTGACCTTGGATGTTCTTGAGATTATACCCACATAGCATTCGATATCTAAAGTATATACATTTTAAATCCATAATGTACAGGGAATATTCTGTACATCTTATGTATATACTATGTATATTCATTATAGACATATGTATTTTATGTCCAGTATGGATATTCTATAAATATACATTTTGGATGTGCCTTGTATATACATGGGATTATGTGTTGCAAATATGTGTTAGTGCGAGGTGTAAAGATTGGATGGGAATTATTATAAGGACAAGAATGACAGGTATGTTAGCAACCTATTTGTTATGAACTCGCGCTATTATAGTGTTGAACAAGAACACGATCAAAATGACTCAAGACTACAGTGTTAAATAAAACAAATTATTTTCCATTGTATACTAGGAGACTTAATAAACAAAAAGCTCCACTCCGTGAAAAGAATTTATTTATGTAGGTATAGATGCTAGTAAACTTCCCGAATGTTAGAGGAATCTCTATAGAACATCCATTCTGAATGTATACAACATACATAGAATATCCTATTGAACATCTTTTGCATATTACAGGAATATTCATGATATATCCAGTTGTCAGTATACCAATATACATAGCATGTCTGATGCATATACGTGCATATACATAAGACATCCAAAACGTATATACTATGTATTATGTGAAGTCTGCCAAACTTATATCCCATGCACATACATCGGACATTTGCGACATACTTTTCCACATTCTATGGATATACAGTATCCCACGTGGAATGTACATGGTATATGCAGTGTATATAGGTCTGCTATGTGGGTATTTTGACACCAGAATTGCCATTGACCTTAGGTGACATTGAAAATGCAATTGGATACCGCAGTTGAGGTCACTGACCTTGGATGACCTCGAACGTCTAATTTAACACCACATCAATTGACCATGTAAGACCTTGTAATTTGACAAATCAACTACAGCGTGCACTTTGATTTTTATTATTCATTGAATCCTGTTTTTAACTAAAAATTGTTGATTATTGAAACGTATTTACAAGTAAAAAGTCATCAGTCATCAAAGGGAAATGCCTCATCATCGCTCAGATCTCCTGTTGCAGTCGAGCTATAAAAAATATTTAGTTAAAATCATTAAAAATAAAACGCTGACAATCATGTTTATAATAAGCATGTACGCAGTACATATACTTGGCTGCTATTTTTGCAGTGTTCTTGGCAGTTAGAACTCTGTAGGGTGCAGGGAAGGCTGTTTCGTAAGCATGAGCACCTCATGGTCTCACAAGTTGACTTGCAGCCGCATTTTCCTACGATTGAGAACGCTTTCCCTTTTGATGGGATACAAAGTTACGCAAGAAGAGGCGGACGGGCGAATCATCCTCCATGCGAAACATATGGTGGAGCATGGAGCCCAGAACATCCTCGTCCACTCTTGAGATACTGACGTTCTGATGGTCATATATATTTTGTTTTTTTTTAAGTACTCGGACTGAAAGAAGGATATCTGTCAGGTGTTGGGCCCTAGCGTCGATATATAGCGACCCATTTGATTGCATTAGAAGAAGAAGAAGAAGAAAATTCACAAGCCCTATGGGGCTTTCATTGTTACACAGGTTGTGGCACAACGCCCTGCTTCAATTCTATTGGAAACAAGAAGGCGTTTATGACTTGGATGAAACGCCCGGACGTGACACCAGCTTTACTTGAACTCTCCAATTCACAAAGAGGAATAACAGAAAAAAACAATTAAAACTTTAGAAGAATTTACTACCGTTCTCTATGACCCCGAAGCACAGGAGAAATCCACTCCTAATGTGGGAAAATATTTATTTTGTACTAAAAATAAATTACTGCAGTTCCTGTCCCCAATCAAGCAGGTCATGTGTTGTGGGGGCACTGCTTCTATCCTACTGAATGCCCTCCACATCCGTCAACTTGGGGATGGACACGAGGCAAAGTGGGCTGGGAACCAAACTGGACCAAATATGTATAAATATGAAAGGAGCTCACAATCCTAGGGAAATGCGGCTGCAAGTGAACTTGTGAGACCATAAGGTGTTCATGCTTGCGAAACAGCCTTCCCTGCACCCTACAGTGCTATAACTGTCAAGAACACTGCAAAAATCGGAGCCGAGTATAT